AACAACCTGTTAAAATACATAAAAATGCAGGAAATAGCATCTTCTTTAATCAAAATTTTCTGGAGGAGGACCTCCAGACCCCCCCCCCCTCCCCCATCCACTATTTGATCATCAATCAATTTAAAAATTAAGTCCTGTTAATTGGTACGACTACTGATGTTATAATTCTGGGCAATTTTACGTGAAGCGTTTTCTGTAAGAATTTGAAGTACCAACACATTTATGTTCATTAAGTGAATAGGTAAAGTTTTAAAGTGTTTTTTTTATACTGTTGATGTTCCCAAAACTGTGATTTTTAGAAGTTGAAATTAAAAATTTTGTCAATTATGTGCGTCTTGAATGAGAAATACCTCATGTTTAAAAGTATAAAAATTGTATTAACACTATTAAAGAACAGGTCTTAAGTATTTATGTTACACAAATATTTCCATAGCATTAAAAGAGACAAATTGAAGAAAACTATTTAATAAACATGAGGTTATGAGGGGGGTCCCTGAAACTTTTTCTCCCCTTTAAGGGTCCCTGAATCCAAAAAGTTTGGGAACCCCTGCTGTAAAGGACATTTCTTGTGTCTTTAATTTCTGTCCAACAATTCTGAGTCAGGTCATCTGGACCGTTCCACAGCAGTCAATAAGTGAAACAGAACATTTAGGCTTAAATCTACAGGACAGTAATTTCTAATAATCTAAAGTTACACGCAAAAAAAACCCAATAAAATCTAACCACGCATCTAATAATGAAGACGTATGGCATCTTGTTAATTGTGCTACTTTATTAAACTCGTCTATATAATTTAATTGGTTCTAGATTAGTTTAAAAAAAACAGCTCTAAGTGTGAATTGTTTTTCTACTTTTACATATTTTGGTGCAATAACCTTTGAAATATTGTTTCTAAATCAGGAGTTAATGATTTGTGCAAACACAGTCCAGTATTAGATTAAACTTAGATTAAAAAAAAAAACAATATATTGTGAGAGAGTGGATGTTTTAGCACCTAAGGATCACTGAGCAGAGATCTCTGCTGCACCCTCCAAGCAAACCCTGACGCCACAATCCAATATTGACACACCAGTAAACTGCAGGCAGATGGAAGGTACGAGCGAATAATGGCTCCTGCGCTGACCCCACGAAAACAGACTGTTGGCACACAAAAGAGCGTGGGAGAGTGTCACAAGGCTTTCGACAGCAAGGGAAGGCCCGTTTCAAAATAAGGCGGTGTGTTTGGTGTCTGAACAAGTCAGCCACGGTTTCAAAGGGCCAAGGTACGAGTGCAAGGAAATCCCTACAGACACTTCCTTAAAAGCAAAGCACGTCCATCGTGGACTCCATCGCCTTTCCTTTGCTTAGATATGATCTGAGAAACATCGCACAGTGTAATATGTGACAACAGAAGATGCTCCTGGGGTGACTAAATCCAGTTCTTGTGGCTAAAAAAAAAGAATATTTCCCATGTATGAACTTTGACCTCAGCTGTGTACAACACACAATAAAGTGACAGCATGTAAAATAATCCCTGATTTGGGCGGTCTATTCACATCAAACTAATTAACACAGAATAATAATTGCATTTGTTTGGAATAACTGTTTGCTTAAATGGATGACTGTGGGTTATTCAACCTGCAGAACCAGTCAGGGCTGTTAAATCCTCTCCATCCGACTCTGCTGGACGAAACCACTGAACTTAATGAGAAAAAAGATTTTAAACCTATTATGGACAAATTCTACAGCATTTTTGAATATTAGTCCTAAAGAATGAGCAGTAATAAAAATGATGCGAGAGGAAGTTTCTACCTTTTGTGTATTTACAGTAAAGAAAACCTACATCTGCACCTTATTCTTAGGCTGTTCCCAGTTCTTTAAACTGGTTTGAGCGCAAGTCCTTTAAATTCGTCTCGCTCGACTTCAGAAGCGAACATGAGCCCAGCAGGGTTGGTCTCGTTAGCCTGACAGCTACTAACACAGAGTTTATCTTTCCTCACAGTTCAACTAGAACCGCATCAAAAACAGGAAACCTTCCCGCCCCACGTGACTCCCAGCAGGCTGCAGTCTCAAGTGCCAAAACACCGACTGGGGCTTTAACCAAAACAGGATAAATTTAGTGGTTTTGTTAGAAAACACGCCTCACCTGTTCGGTCCGAGCTGTGAGGACGACTTCCTGTCGAGTGTGGTCCGAGTCTGGAGCAGAAAGTCCGGGTTTCCCAGACTTTGAAGTCTTAATTGTGTTTAACGAGGAAGTGCTGAGGTGGCCGCTGCTCGTTCTGGTTCCTTCTGTCTCTGCCAGGTTGCGGCGCGCGGCGCAAAGAGGAGGCAGCGCGTGGACGCGTGACGTCACGCAGGTGAATTCCCACATCACGCAGCGAGAGATAGATGGATAAAACCATACTTTGCTGTTGGGATTAAACATGCACAAGACTGGATTGGATATAAAATAAAACATTGAGATAAAAGTTTAAATCTGTTGATTTTAACATTGTGTCACACCTTGACCCGCACCTGTCAGTGTTGAAAACAATAAAATAACAATAGCTGCATCACCACAGGAGCTCCAGACAGGAGGTTTGGTGTGTAAATGTGATGAATACCAGTTATAAATAAGTATATAATCTACCTCAGTTTGTAGAAGAAAGATATAATGGTGTAAAACATGTGTCAAGGGTGACACAGGCCAAATCTGGCCCTTTTAGATATCTTTTTTTGGCCCCCAAGATGACATTTTAAATGTAAAATATTGTTATCACTTCTTATTTTGCTTTATAAAAACAACTCATAAATACTTAATGTAGTGCAGACTTCTCATGGCAGCTGGCTAACTTTGAGGCCACAAAAAAAGGCTAGATTTTCAGTAATCTTTAATTTTGACATGGAAAGAGTAATGGAGATAGCCATATGAGATCGATCAAATAGCTACTGACTGATGAATCTGCAGCCAAGAAAATATGCCTGGTATCAAATGAACTGGCACGTGGCTTGGACAAGCTTTTAATTTTGGCCCACATTTGTAAGAGCTTGGCACCCCTGGAGAATGTACTGAAACAGTGTTGGCGTGATTTGCTTTCAGAGTAGAGCTGTTTTTAAACGGCAGGGATCCACTTTGGTTTGGGCTGTGTTAAGACTAGATGTTAGCTCGTCTTTCCTGTCAGACTTAACTATTTTCTTCCAAACTGACACCATTCAAAAAGCTTTCAACAAGAGGTGAGATGTTAAATGGGTGGTCTTCTCATTTTTAAAGTGATATTCTTTTAAATAATGATCAGTAGTTGGTACCCACGGTGAACACCTTTGAGTTTTTCTTCATATTTTGTGCTTATGACAGATGACACAGTTGCTAAGATACAAACTATTGATGACTAGTTGATAGAATATCCATCCATCCATCCATCCATCCATCCATCCATCCATCCATCCATCCATCCATCCATC